AGCAGGAGCCATGTGCCCTGCCCTGACCTCTCTGTTCACTTCCTGCCCACTCCCATCCAGGTCAGTCCTGGCCTAAGATATAAGGTGGACCTTCCGCTGCCCTGGTCCCATGGGTTGGAGTCCGAGGCTTCGCTGTGGAAGGAGGCTCTCCTGATGTGGGAAGGAGGGAGGACGAGGCTCCTGCCCAAGGCCTGCCCCTCGCTTCCTGTGTGCCAGTGGAGCTTGCGCTCTCTCTCCAGCCTCGTCCCCATCTATATGCTCTGCCTGGCACTCTTTCTTCTAGTGTCTCAGGTCGGAAGCCTAGGAGTCTGCACCTCTGTATCTCACATCCCACATTCGTTTATACCTGCACGCACCCGTCTGTCCCTGAATTCACAGGCCCTGCCTGCCTGGGGCCTGGCCTCTCCCATCATAGTCCTCTCAGAAGACAGAGGGACCCCCTCCCCAACACGCCTGGGACATGTCCCTCGCTGCTGTTTAAAATCCACATTTCCCTGACTCCCAACTCCTCATGGGGGGGTCCTTCCTCTCCAATTGTACCTTATAGCAAACAAAACAAAACAGAACAAAACAAAACAAAACAAAATGTTACTGTCAGGCTCTATATCCATCCCCATCGAGCCTGGCTCCTGGTTCCACACATCCGCCCACTCGCCCTCTGGGCCTTTGCCACCCCTGTTCCCGCTGCCTGGCATTCCCTTTCCCTGGCTTAGTTGCTCCTTCACCTCACCCGGGTGTCCGTGCAGGCGTGACCACCTCAGCCACCTGCCAGGCGTGCATTCTGATGCTGCGGTCCCTCCAGCTGCTTGGCCCAACTGTGCCGTAGTTTAATTTAAGCTCTTACTATAGAATGATTGGTCCATTTCTGCACTGTCTGTTACTCAGCAGGAAGGGAAAGGAGCTCCAGAAAGCCAGAGCTTCATGCCTGTTCACCGCGGTAGCCCTGGCAACTAGAACAGAGCCCAGCACACAGTAGGTGCTCAGTAAATGCCTGCTGAGTGAGCCAAAGAAGACGCCGGATGAGACAAGTGCTAATTCTTATAGGCTCTTGAATTCTCCATGGGGCACTACGTCCTGGCTGTTCATTGGTCTCTCTCTGTCACGCATTGTTAAAATGCGAGGAGGAAAGTCAGATAGTCTAAACCCAGCCTGGGAGTTGGCAGGTATGATATACAGAGACTCACAGCAAGGAATCTCCCCCCCCCCAGAACTTCTCCACCCTGGACAGAGCCAGCTCCGCTCACCACTCCCCAGCCCGGCTCACCACTCCCCAGCCCTGCGGTGCCACTGGGCCCTCCCACTTGCCGACACCCTCCCCAGGCAGGGGCAGCGGGTCTGCCAGCAGTCCACACCCGTCAGGGCGCTGAGTGGAGTGGGAGGCGGGCAGAATGAAAGGGCTGCTGTCAGCAGCTGCGGATAGGGCTCCTCAAGGTTAGGCTGGCGTTATCAGTGCCCGGCGCGAGCTCAGTCACGGAATGCTGGTTTCCAAATGTTTGCTCAGTATTAGCAGGGCCGGGGACCTAATGTAACTTCTAGTGAATATTAACCACCTGGGCAGAGCAGAGCCATGAGACATCTTCCCAGAGAACTCCTGAGGGGGCCCATGGGGGCTGGGTTGGAGTTTTCGAGGAAGGTCCCATCAGATGGCCCTTAGCCCATCACCAGTCCGCACCTCCTGCAGGCCCTGGTGAGTTTCCTGGCTGAGGTCAGGAGCCCGATATTGGTCCTGGGCCTGAGAGCTGAGGCCGGACAGTCCCTGCTCTCCCTACCCGGTTGTAAGACTCTGCCTACTGTTGTCCACTGAACCCCAAGTTTCCCTAGAGTCTCTGATCCTCTAAAGGTGCCCTCCTTTGGACCACTGGGGAATATCCTCTGGCCGAGGCATACAGGCCCGTGAGGAGTCCTTCCCTGCAGCTAAGAGGAAGTTTCAGGAATCTGGACCAGAAAGTACCTCCCAAACTCATCACTGCAAATTTCAATCCAGAGAGCTCGGTGTCTGCCCAGCTGGAGGGAGCCTGGGCTCTACTCCTGACTCCCGCCCCGACTCATTGCATCACCTCTCTGAGCACAGTTCTTCATCTGTAGAGTGGGGAGAGAGTAGATTTGATGGCCTCATATAGATTCTCTATAAGTCTTATATTTCCAACTCATGTCTTCCAGTCCCCAAGAAACCACTTTTGGGTTTCAGTCCCCAAACCCTCCTAAGGTCACCAAGGGGTGAAAAAAAAAAAAAAAAAAAAAAAGGAAACTAGCTCCAGCTCTTCTGATCAGGGAAGCTTCCACTGAGACTTTTCCTGGCTTTGGGAATTCCCATCAGGCAGAGGAGGGGTGCTGGGGACTAGAAGACTTAGGAGGTACTAGAAATACCTTTACTTACTGGGTTTAATAACAGCAGCAGTTAAACATTCCTACACTCACCCATTCACATGTGTCATGATCTTCCAGTTAACCCAGGCATGCAAATAAGCACCAGCATTCACTAGCCCACACTCGCCTGCTAGCAGCCACCTTTCCAATTCTCCTGGAGAATGTTAATTTCCCCGGGGCAAAGAAGCCAGCAGCTATTTTCAAGGCTGAGCTTAAGGTAGACTGTCCTGGGGCTCATTCCTCTTCTAAAAGTTGGGATAAGGGACCTATTGCTCCATGTCAGCTCAGTGATGGACCAGGGGACAAACACCCATGTCCTGATGGTGGTGTGCACTTGTATAGGTAGGTCAATGAGTTATGTTTAGCTGGACCCAGAGCCAGAAGGACTCACTATCCAACTCTTGATTTTATAGATGGGAAACCAGAGCCCTGATAGGTGGAAACTGGTAAAGTTCCACAGGTGACAATGATTCTGAAGGTTTAACAAGAGACCTGAGTGGGACCAGCAGATGGTGTAATGGCTATGTCACTGGACTCCCATGTAGTCGATCACGATTCGAGTCCCAGGACTGGTGGCTTAAACTCATGCTGGGCACGTGTGCATGCATACCCAAGATCCCGAGAGGAGAATGGAGGAGAAGGGATTGTGGCATGGCCATCCCCCCCCCCCCGGGTGGTGATTTCTCGCTTTCTGTCTCTCTATCTCTCTCTGTCTGTCTGGAGAGCACATGCATCCTATAGCAAAAACAAAACAAAAAAACCACAAGAGACCCGAGTAAAGGCAGGACTAGGCCACGCATATCCTAGGTAGGTAACCTTATGCTCAGGTGGGCTGCCAACCCCTCTCCCACCTGCTTGTTACAAGGCTGAAATTTCAACATGAGAGAGTCGTTCGCTCGAATACAATGCCCTCTGCACAGTACCTCTGGATGATCAGTGTCTGACGTCTCAGGCTCTTGGGATGCTAGAGCACTGAGTAGTGGCACCACAGATCACCAAGCCCCGTGGCTTCTGTTCTAGGCCTTCTTCATGTTTCTAACTGTCCGTGCATGTATCCTGATCCTGTTCTAACACATCTCATCCTGTGAAATGGTTCTCAGCTTGGAGGAGACAGAGGCTCGACCCAATTGCAAACTGGGTGTGGAGAGGGGCATTGGCAATTTGGAAAAGCCCTGCTTCTGCCTGCAAAACCACTGCAGTCTGCTGGCTAGAATCATGTGCTTGGAGCAGAGGGACCCTGGAGACCACCCACTCCTTTAGCAGGATCAGCAAGCCTAGATTTCCCAACGGTGCTCCTGAGGTCAAAGCAAGACTCTGTAGAGATGAGATATGGAAGATATTTCCAAGGAAGGGGCAGAATAGACAGGGGCTCAGAGGCAGAGCCGCCAAAGCCTACTTCCTTTTTTTCTCAGTCAACCCCAGGGCAGGCTGGGTCCCAGGTTCCTGCTTCTGGACAGACTGTGCGTGCACACGCACGCACGTGCCCATCCAGGACCAGACCGAGGGTTTGGCTGGTATGGCAAAACTGCAGGCTAGATTTGAAAACCTGGGGCTTGCCCAGAGCTGGGAAAGGTGATTTAGGGGAAAAGGAAATAAAGAGATTTGAAAATAAATGCAGGTTACTTTGAAAAGTGGTTCAAAAGGCCAGTCACCAGGACCAGCAGTTAGTGTAATGGCTATGTCGCTGGACTCCCATGTAGTCAACTGTGGTTCAAGTCCTGGACCCAGTGGCTTAAAACTCATGCTGGGCACGTGTGTGTGCATGCCCAAGATCCTGAGAGGAGAATGGAGGAGAAGGGATTGTGGCATGGTCATCCCCCCGGGGGTGATTTATTGCTTTCTGTCTCTCTGTCTCTCTATGGCGAGTGCACGTGACCTATAGCAGAAACCTCTCAAAAAAAAAAAAGAAAGAAAGAAAGAAAGAAAGAAATGGTAAAAGGCCAGTCACTGAGGCACACAGTAACACTCTGCAATGCTGAGGCCACATGGGAAGGTTCGAGGGAGCAAGCTGCGGTCCCCTGTACACACTGGGCAAGCTTGTATGCGTCATGATCCAGGCTGGCTGAGGCTGCAGGTGGGTCTCAGCGTGGGAGCCTGGTAGGGGGGCTGTCTTTCTCTGCATATCTTATGGAAGAAGTTAATAAACAAAATACCCTGCAAAAAGGTGAGAGGTGTTGAAGAAGAAGGAGTAGGAAAAAAGGAAGAGGATGAATGAGGACCGTAAGAAGATTTTTCCTTCTTGAACTTGGGCCAAAAAAACAGTTTTAAATGTTCTTGGGGGGTCTGATGGGCACACAGGCAGGCAGCATTGAAGTGTGTTCCAAACATCATGAAGCTCTGGGTTCAAACCTCAGCTCGTCCGATGACCAGCTGTGAGGTCTCAGGCAGGTTGTTTAACCACTCTGGGTCTCTCTAGGCTCCATGGAAGGGGAGGACAGTCATAGTTCCAGCCCTTAGCATTGTCATGAGAATGAAACAAGCTTCAAACCCGGAAAAAGCCTAGCCCAGTGACTGCTGCCTGCAGGTAGCATGGGGCCTGGCGAGACCTCAATGAAAGTTGTGCTCTGGTCTTCCCATCCTCCTCCACCCAAGACAGGCTGGTGCCTTGCTCTCATTTTCCAGAATGGGAAAACTCTGGAGCCACCTGATAGCCAAGAATGATAACCGGAGAACTGGGCACTTGCCCCTAGCTTAGGAAACTGGGGAATAGAGCACACCCCGCTGTCCCCACTTGTGAAGTCCAAGTGGTAGATACTGAGATGTTTGCAAGGTCATGTGCTCTGCTTTTCTGGATGTTTGTCTTGTTAAGTAAGACCCCCAACGGTGGCCACCTTGAGGTGGTGTGGCAGCAAGGGTGGTGGTTGCTGGGAGCCCGAGCAGTTGAGAGTGGGAGCTTATCTCTCTGAAGCTTTCTCAAGACCAAGCCCAGCCGCTCCCTATGGTCAGATTTCCAGGCCCTCCCTCCTCTCAGCCATTAGCCAGTCACGCTGGGGCCTGTCACAGAGTCATAAAGTATGGCTCCAGTTGTAAACGACTGTCGGGAGCCATGGGTACAGGTGGGGCAGTCAGGGGCAGGGGGAGGGCTGGGGCTCACCTTCCTTCTTCATGCCAGCCCGGAAGCACTTCTTGAGCCTGCAGTAGCGGCACTGGTTCCTCTTGTCTTTGTCCACCACGCACTGCCGGCTAAATCTGGGGAGGGCTTTGGATGGTTGGATAGAGAAGAGACCACCTTCTCCCTCTTAAGATGGACTAGAACTCTGGCCATCTGGTTGACCCCGGCCTCCTTGCTCTGCCCCATCCCAGAGCCCTCATGCTAATTGACCAAGAGCTAGAGAGGTTCTATGGATGGTCTAAGAGTCTGACCCCATCCTGCTAAACATGGGGAAACTGAGGCTCAGAGAAGGCAACATGTGGTTCTGGGTCACTCAGGTGGCTGGGAGTAGTGCTGCCTTGGGACCCTTTGGTCTCTTGAGTGCCAGAGCACTGCTATTTCCACCACGTCCCATAGTAACCCGAGTCCATAGCAGGCTTCTGGTCCACATCAGTCTCTTGTGGGTATGGGTGTGGGTGGAGAGGTGGAGGGGTGGGGAGTGTCTGAAGTAGAAGCGGTGCTGCACAGTGGTCATGGCTGGGCCCTGCGCGTCAGCCCTGGCTCTGCTATTGTTCAAACTGGGTGACCTTGGGCGAATGCCTAGCGCTCAAAGCCACAGCTTCCTCAACTATAACGTGGGAACGGTAATGGCACCTATCCCGGGTTGGGAGGCAGAGGAGACAGAGGTAGTGCAGATGGGGCACGGCATGGCATGGTGTGTTCATATGCCGAGAGCTTACAATCGGCAGCTTCTAAGCTTTTATTATTGCTGTTATCCAGAACGGGAGATACTTTTGAAAGCAGGATAGCCAAGACTCTGAGAAGCCACTGGGGTAGATGGAAAGGCCTGGGACCACTCCCTTATTTGTCTCAGAAAAAGCACCAGGTTTGAGGATGGGCTTATTCTCTGAGGCTTCAGAAGAAGCCGAACCTAGGTCTCCTGAATTTTCATTTGCTAAATGAGAAAAACACAGCCAGCTCCTGTGGAAGGTTAAATGCTTGTGAGGACTCAACACAGGGCCTGGCACATGCTGTGCACTCAGGGAAGGGCAGCCAAGAGCTTTACAGCCAGTAAATGGGGTTCCTGGAACAGACGATCCCCCCTGAGCCCACAGGACCTAACAACCAGAAAAGCCTTGAAGGGCAAGTGCCTCTGGGGGAAGACGGACCCTCAAGGCATGAGCTGCAGGGAGTCCATTTCCCTGCTGGAGAAGGGGGGCCCTATGCGGGGTCCTCACCTGCAGGAGTACATGTGGTTCTTCCTCACACTCCTCCGGAAGAAGCCCTTGCAGCCGTCACAGCTCGAGGCGCCGTAATGTTTGCCCGTGGCCCGGTCCCCGCAGATGGCGCACAGGGCACTGACACCCAGGCTGTTGGGCACGTTGAGGTTGGTGCCTTCTGATGGGGACGTGTCTACACCAGAGAGATGGGAGTAAGGACTCAGGGAGAGCGGGAAGGCAGAAATCAGTATGAGCCCCATGGGGACCCTTCCAGGACTTCAGACTCAGCCAGACCTGGGGGCTGTTCCTGCTCTATCAGCCCTTCCCTGGGTGACCGTGGGTCTGTCACTTGGCCAAAACCCCAGTTTTGCATCTACAAATCAGAGATGGTTGTGACACTGGCTTTTCAGAGGCATTCAAGGTGGAGGCTGCTAGTCCCGCTTTGAAAGGAAAGAATGAAAACCTGGCCACCTCCTGGGCACATCCACCCATACAGACTCCCAGTAGGGAAGAGGGGCTGCGGAAGAGACACATCCCCCAGCTTCTCCCCGGAACCTGATCCTGTCTTCTCCCTTCTCACTGAGTGACCAGGCTGGGAGAGAACGCTGGAGCCCTCGTTGAGGGTCATGGCAGGATCTGGCACCTCCTGCCCCAGAGACAAGACCTACTGCCTCTGTATAAATGGGAGGAGGAGTATCCCCCCATCAAAAAAAAAGAAAAAGGATTTAGTTGTTGAAATTAAAAAAAAAAAAAAAAAGGAAAACAACCAGACTTATCAATTGCTTCCTATTATAAATCTTCCTCTAATGATAGACCCTTTGGAGAAGGTAATAAATGCTATGGACCATCTCTCCCACAAAAATGCATACATGTGCAAAACCATGGAGCGTCACACACACGTTTTCATAGAAAGCTATGTTGATTCCGAATTACGAAGAGCAGAGGCCCACAGTGCTGTGGGTTCGCGCACAAAGCACAAACTCTGCCCAGGTCGAGATCGAGCCACCTAGTTGCATGACGTTGCTGGCGACTTTACTTCCTCGCACCTTCGTTGGCTCTTTGTGAAATGCGGGGCAGCTTGATACCCTGGGCGGGCTGTGCGGACTCAGGGAATGAACGGACGTGAGGTGCTCGGCACATAAGCACCACGTCAGTGTTGGTGACCACGTGGCGGTCGGGGAGAACTCAAGCAGAGGACGTCCAACCCCACGCACACACACCCGCCACAACTCCCTCCTTCCACGGCCTGACCGAATGTCTCCCGAGACTCCAGCGTGTGCCCAGGACTGCGCTCCCCTCCACTTGGTGAATTATTCCTGGAAACGGGGATAATCGTTAAGCCGCATTGCTGCCCTTTTTCCCCAACCCCCAGGGAGAGCTGACCCTGCACCACTCAGCCATTCATGCGGAGGCTGGGACGAAGCTCCCACCTCCTGGTGGAGCGAGGTGGGTGCTGTCAGGTATGCCATCGCCCCCTGAGGGCAGCCCATCTCCTCTTCTCCAGGTGAGGACACTGAGGCCCAGCGAGGACAAGGGTCTCGCCCAGGGCCAACCCACTGCTTGGCATGGGAGGTCCAGCCGTGATGCCAGTGCTGCCCATGAGAGGGTGCCTGCTGGGGCCACTAGCAAGCAAGGACCCCCCGCTGCACTGCTTCTGCATCGGGGCCGGGAGCTGAGTGGGGCACTCGATCCTCGGAGCCCTCGAGCCACCAGCCCACGATGTATGCAACCATTTGAAGGACCACCTCACACTAATCCCAACTCGCAGCCCACCCCGGACGCCAGCAGGGAGTGTGGACCCTTCTTACAGGTGCTTTGAGACAACCCACGTGGGGGCTGGGAGCAGCCTCCAGGGCTGAGCACTCAGGCGTCTTATCTTAGTTATCCTCTGGTTAGCTCTGGGAGGTGGTATCATTTACTCCCATTTTATAGGTAAGGAAACTGAGGCTCAGAGAGGAAACGGTGCTGCTGCATTCACACAGGTCAGAAGGCTCACTGGGAATTGGGGACTGGGGTCCAGGGCCTTTGGGCTCCAGATGTAGAGGCTGTGCTGTCCTGGGGACCCCAGACAGGGGCTGACCTCTGTCCTGGGTATACAAGATTCCTGAGCTCTGAAAGGAGCCAGCCCCGGGAGCGGCACAGAGCCAGGCAGTGGCAGGAGTGTGACAGCACGTACTGTCCCTGGGGGGTGTCACATGACAACTGCTGAGTGCACCAGCATCTTGGCCACTTGCAGCACGTTTCCTGCCGAGGACCTCACGTGGCATCCTGACACTCCTACACGCGGCAACCAGTAGGCCCTGAGTGACGAAGCACATCTCACAGAAGACACAGAGGACAGGAAAGGGGAAGTGACAGGCCCCAGATTGCTTGGCGACATGGTGGCAGGGGGCGGGCGAGCCCCTGGTGAGACTGGCCATCGCACCGCCTGCTGCTGCCTCCTCTTTTTGGCTGAGCAGGCCCCAAGCTTTTCCGACATCAGCAGGGGCTACAGCCTGACAGCTGGACAGGAGGCGGGTGCCAGGCTGACCTCTGCCAGCTGCCACCTCTCCTTTGAGGCCTGCCTGGTACCCGTTAGAACCATGCCCTCTGGAGGATGTCTGGGTTCTGGCCTCCTCCTTTGCCCCACTTCCTGGTGGAGGAGAACCATCCCCCGCCTGCAGAGGTGGTCTCAGTGAGGGCAGACGTTCGGACCTGGGTAGAGATGCGTGGGCAACAAAACGTGCCTGAAGCAAACGGACGTTTGTCTCATGTGGTGAATGGCAACCTCAAAGCCCTGCAGCCGGGTCTGCGCAGGCACGCAACACGGACAGTGTGAACCCCCAGAACAGTGGATGCGCACAGGCACACAGCGGGTGCGAACATGGGAGACAGACTCCGTGCAGGACAGACGTGCAGGAAACACAGGGCGAACAAGCCTCCGCATCCACAAACACACGCGGTCAGTGACCCATGTACCAGCACAAGTGCACAAACACCCGCAGACACGTGTACACTCACGCTCTGTGGCGTGCAGACAGCAGCAAAACAAACACGGGCACCCCGTAGGGACACAAACACACACAGAGCCACTCAATGAACAAACAGAAATGGGGATTGACACAGAACACGCGCACACAGACATGCGACGAGCTGTGGAAACGTGTTCCTAAAGGCAGGCGTTTGCCGAAATGGTCCACCCTCCCACCTGTACGTGTATGCACACACATGAATAGGCACCTGCCGAGCTGCCCTCTTAGCAAAGTTAGCAGAGCTTTCCTGAGGACACCATTTTCTCTAGCATCCAATTGCCCTAGGAAAGTCCTGAAGACACCTGAAATACAATTAGATCCCCAGCTGCTGCCTTTGGGGACAGCTAACCACTTTCCATCTCTCTAGACCTACACTCAAGAGCTTCTAGAAGGGGCGGCGTTGGGCTGAATTACTGGAGCTGGATGCCAAGAGGGAGTGATCATCGTGTCCCTGCTACTAGTGACAAGCCGAGCAGGAAGAGTTTTGAGGTAACCAGGACTGGAAGGACCCGGGAGGAATGCCTGGGATCTATTTTTACTGAAAAGTTGCCCTTGCAGGCCTCCCTGCACCTAGAATGGCTCTGGTCACTGAGTGACCGGTAGGACCTACCTACCACTTTCCGTCATTCTCCTCTCATCCCAAAGTCGGGTGCCAAAGATCCACTCCCATATCTGGGCACACCTGCCCCCACCTACCATTGCCCATGGTCAACACCTGCACATTCTCAAATTCCAGGGTGGTGTAGGCCGGGTCCAGCGCTGCACTGTAGTCAGCCATGTCCATGTCGACGAGGGTTTTGGAGAGGCGCATTCTCCCCTGCCTCCACACCACGGCCTGCCCTGCCTGGGATGCCCGCCGGTAGGCTCCGGGCTGAGCCCCAGCCTCCGCCTTCCCCCCTCCCACGGCCTCCTCCCAGGCACCCTTTCTGCCTTCCTTCCTTTCAAAGCGTCCTCTGGGAGGATCTGCCTGGAGTCTGGGCCTAGCCTCTGCAAAGGGGTGGAGGCTCCCGGGGAGGGGTGGGGGTTAATGGTTAATCAGGCCCCCTGCTGGTGGATGGGCTGGGCGGGGCTGCAGGGATTTGGCTGTTGCTTTCTGGCTGGCATCCTGGGCGCTAATTACAACTGTTGGGGCCCTCATTGACCAATATTCAGTTAGCAATTCTGCAGGCAAGTGTTGTAGCTCACCGGCACTCAGATGCCTCCTGACCCTTCCACCCGCCTCAAGCCATGGCCAAGCCCAGCCAGGCATTCTAGCCGATCTGCTCAGATACTGACAGCCTCCCTCCAACACCCTAATTCAATAAATGCCCCAATCATTCACTTCTACCCTCAACGCTCTTGCAGAGCTAGAGCCGCCTCGTGGCCCAGGAATTAGAAACTGAAATCCCAGGCCCCAGTCACCAGTCTTTCGAATCCTTCTTCTGGGATCCCCTCCTAGATCCCTTCCAGCTTCCCACTTACCCTGGGAGTAGAACGGACTGCAGGTTTGAGAGGGCCGACTCACCTCTCATTCCTCTCACCTGCTCTCTGAGACCTCATGATGGCCACCGCACCCCCCACAGCTCCTGGCTGCTCTGGCTTGAAGAAACTCCATCTCTGAATTCCCGGTCTCATCCATGCGCTCCACCCCACCCCCTCCCAGAGCAAGTGGAGACAAGGTTTGCAGCCCTACAGGCCTGGGTTTACATTCAGGCGCCTACTACCTACTAATCGTGACTTTGGGTAAATGATTCTCCCCTCTGAGCCTCAGTTTCCTTCTCTGTAAAATGTGCAATCAACCACAGAGGGTGAGTTGAGTAAGAAAGGGGATGGCATCAGCCCAACAATAAGAGGTGGCTGCAGCATGCTCCCTTCCTCCCCCTCTCCTCTTTTTCTGTCCCCCTTTCCATCTCCCTGTCCCTCTCCTTCAGCGTGGGCTGTGTGGGTGCACTGCCTGTGCATGCGCACGCAGCTGCACTGGGCCAGGCCCCCGCTTGCTTCAATGCTCTCTCGTGACTGTCATGAAATTCTTGATTGTTGAACGACGGGTGCTGCACTTCTGTTTGTGATGGGGCCTTGAAAATGACGCAGCTGGCCTTCCCTGTTTCTCACACACGGTCACTTTGTTCTCACACACCCCCAGTCCTCACGATGCAGACACTTTTGAGGGCTCCTGACCTGGCTGGGGAGGTAAAGTCACCATGGAGAAGGTAGAGTGTGGGCCTGAGACTAGAGGCCTGGCTGGCCTCCTCTGTAGGCTGGCGTGGTTGGTGGGACTGGGTAACACTCATGGGCAAGAGCAGGCCAGTAAGGCCCAGCATGGTGGCACAGGTGGCGGGGTGCCCCTGCGTGACGCTGGAGCCACAGGAAGACGCTGGGTTTGGTTCCTGGGCTGACGCAAACATGCCAGGTGTGCCTGCAGGGGCAGCTATGACCCTGGGTGACTAGAGGGCTGGGAAGGATGGTGGTGTGATGGGATCCTTTGGTGTCCCTGTCTCTTTCTCTCAATAAATATATGTGTGTATATGTACATATATATATTTGCCAAAGGGCATGTGCACTTGCTGGAGAGAGACAGAGAAAGACAGTGAGAGGGAAAGTGAGAAATCACTCCCTAGGGAAGATGGCCATACCACAATCCCTTCTCTCCTCTCCTCCTGGGAATCTGGGCACTCATGCACACACACTTAGCATGATTTTCAAGCTGCCAGGTCCAGGATAAGAACTGCGGTCAGCCTTGTGAGAGTCCAGCACCTTAACCACCATGCCACTTGCTGGACTCAATAAATCAATAACTATTTTTAAAAAGGAGTGGGCCAGTGAAGGAGAGGATCAGTTAGTGGGTGAGTGGAAGGGTGAATGAATGAGGTGGTGATTTAGGACTACGTGAACTGGACGCAGGGTGAATTAATGTGTGAGGGCAGAGACTGGGTCAGTTAACGAGTGGGCGAATTAGTGAGTGCGGTAATGGAAGTAAAGCTGTGAAAGGCGGGTACATCATGAGTGGGCAGATCGAGAAGAGGGTAAGTGTGCTGAGGGACGTGAGGAGCACCCCAACCTACCCATCCAACGCAAAGTCTTGCTCTGCCACTTAGCTTCGGTTGCCCCCTGCATCCCAGCCCTGAAGCTGAGGTAATAGGGATGGGGTTGGGGTGCAGGGTGTTATTTCCTGGGGCGGTGGGAGGGGGAATCAACTGTTCTGGAGGAGAAGAAAGACTGGATTTGTGTCAGGAGACCTGGGTGGGTTCAGGGGCCAACTCTGTCACTATCCCATAGCTTTGTACAAATCACATCTCTTCCCAGGGCCTCAATTTCCCCATCTGTAAAGTGGGGAGACAATCTTGGCTCAGTTGTTTGTGGGTCAGAACAAGATGGTGAGGGAAGGAAGAAGAGAGTCTTCCAACTTAGACTTTGAGGTTCAGTAAGGTCCGGAAGGAGAGTTCAAGCACAGGTGAGGTCCTCAGGGGCCCCTCCCTACAGCTGAGCGGGGTGGAAAGGGAAGACCTGACACGGGACGAACACAGGAGAGGAGTGAAGAGCAGCTCTGGGAGGGGCCTCCGAGGGTCCCAGGTCCCTGCTATCTGTTCAGCGTCTATGACAGGTCACACACAGCTGGTCCCCACACAATCCCACAATTGGCATATATGCCAATTCCAAGAGAAACATGTCCACATTTCTAAAAGTGGGATGTAATCATTGGCAGGTCAGAGTTTAGCTGGTAACAAAAATAACAACGCATCTCTCTATAGAGGAAGTATTGTAAGTAAGGTGTACGATTAATTAGGGCCAGCCTTGTGTGCCTCACATCACCCACGACATGCCAGAAGTACGAGAAGGACAGCCTGCACACAATGAACGACTAAGCATCTAACCCATGACATACGTGACTTACAACACACATGACTGCCTCAGAGGCATAGCCCAGAGTCCTGTCCCACCTCCTTCCCACTCACCATGAGTAAATCTGTCCACTGGCCAACTCGAAGTTGCCCTATCTGGTATGTCCACGACTGACCCTATCCTCAGCCAGCTCTAAACAATGCCCTCCTTACAAATCCCTCATCGAAATGACACACCAACTAGAAGCTCTACTGGCTCAGTGACTTGAGGCAAGTTATTATTTCAAAGCTTTTGTTTCTCCTTCTATAAAATGGGCCCAACTTGTAGTTTGTTGTAAAGCTGAAATGAGATCTTACTGTAAGGTTCCTAGCCCTTCTGCCACCAGCTTCCATTGAGGGGCTTAAGCCACAGATCTTGAAATCCGACAGATCGGCATCAAAACCCAGGCACTGCCCATTAACCAATCTCTGTGACCTCAGCCTTAGTTTCCGCATTTGAAAAATGAGGTCGGTGACTTCTTTGCGGGATGGTGTGGGCAGCCAGCGACTGAGGGTAGGTGTACAGCACAGCAGTAGCGATTATTGTTGTTGGTCCTTGGCTCTGTGACTCACTGGCCACAGAAATGGTTGGAATCAGGACCCCTGCTCGGGAGAACTCTTGATACAACATGAGCAGCTCTGAGCTAGCTCTGGCCTCCAGGCCATCAACTTAGCAGCTGTCATTTATTATTTTTGAAGTTTTTTATTTATTAAATTAATGATAACATGAGACAGAGAGAGAGAGAGAGAAGCACCCTCTACTGGGTCTTGTTATGCTGTGATCGCCTTTCACTGGCCCTCTAGTTTGGGCACACGTTCGCATTCAGAGCGCGTTCAGAGTGTTCCCAAGCCAACTCAGGAATATGAACCCAGAGTCGACCATGTGACTATCAGCATCACAGTTCAGTTTGCTACCGATTGTGCCACCAGGCTAAGCCGGCATCTGTTCTTAATCTCTGCCCCTCCTTCTTGGGTTGCCAGGTCCCCAGTCAAGAAGTGGCAGCTCTTATGGGACACCGGAGGACCTCTGATTTCACCTAGTGGCCCAGTTCCTTCATGGTTAGCTGGAGAAATGGAGATTTTGAGAAGGGAAAGGGGAATTGGCCTGGCGCCTGTCAGGAGGGGCTGCCCCAGACCAGCTCGAAGCTGGGTTCATGGCTTGGCTGTGGACAGTGGATAAAGGAGATGCTACTGGGCTCATGCCATTGTCCCCCTAAGTCCTAATAACGGCTCACGTATATAGAGAAATTTCTGCTAAACCCAGTGTTAAGGACCCTCTACTTATCTCATTTATTCTACTCATGGGGTAGGGACCATTGTCATCCCTACTTCCTAGAAGACAAAACTGAAGCTCCGAGAGGTGAAGTGACTGACAGCCACACAGATCATACCCGGAGACTGACTCCAAAGCTTAAGAGTTCACCCCTCCTTGTGCTGCCTCCTTCCTGGGATCCCCCAAAGATCTTCAGAGTTCCTGAGCCCCCAAGCTGTAGTTTCACCGTCTCAGTCCTCTGGGTCTATCGTCCCTCCCCCGCCCACCGCCCGGGAGGTGCAGGAAAAAGCAGGACTTATCAAGACAAAGAACAAAAGTCGTGGGGAAAAGAAGCCAAGAGCCATCTCCACTCTGGGGTAGGGCCTTCAGTTTTGCCCCTTTGAAATTTCAAATTCCAGTTTGTGGACAAAGTCCTAACTATCTCACAATATAGGTCCCCAACCACTGACCAAACTCCAGTTCAGGCAGCCACCTAGCTCAAGGCTGGCCTGGCCTTGCTGCTTGCTGTGGCAGCTCTCAGGACCAGGTAGGGGTCTTGAGTCCAAGACCAAGGAGGGGGTCTGCTTGGCCCTCCCTACAGCCTTCCTCCCCCCAGCCCCGGACCTCTGTCTTCCATCTGAGAGGGCACCCCTCTTCCTGGAGCTGGGATCTGAAGCCTGCTGGTACTGACCGTGGACACCAGGTAGGCTCCTGCCCTGCCTGGGCATCTTCTCCTCTGTGAGCTCCTGAAACCCTGCTCCCTCCACCCTCTGCAGAACGCCCTCGGTACAGGCCACATGGTTCAATCACATCATGACTGCAGAGAACTTCAAGACTGGACAGGGTGTCTGGGCTCAGTCACCCTGGTGGACAGAGATCCTGAGGCCCTCCGGGGAGAGGCCGCTGGCTGCAAGCTGAACGGTACACTTGGTGCCTGCACTGGGGACCCCTTGCTGAGCCCCAGAAGTGGAAGGGACTTGCTCAAGGCCACTGAGCAGTGGGGCGTGAGCTTTGTCCTAGCCCCAAGGAGCCCTTGGCTTCACGGCATCCTTCATGGGCTCTTCAGCCCATTGGTGGTGGTGCGTTTGGTCATTCAATGACTGATGGCCACCACATTGCCATGGAAGTAATTCCAAGAGGAAGATGAGGGACTCGGGCTGAAGGCCAGTGCGTTTGGAAGGGAACACATTCATGTGGTTAACTGATAACTGAGCCCCATCCTCAGCCTCTGCGGGCCTCCTTCCTCCCCCCCATCTCCTCAGCACGATTAAGACGAACTTACCTGCCTGCTAATCATTGCTGAGCCTGTTGATTTTGCCTTAAAAAATTAACTGGGCATGAGTTTGCGGTTTGCCTCACCCCTAACCCTGAAAAGGCCCGGATGGGCAGGAGGTCCCTGGGATTATGCAAGAGGCCGCTGGCCTCCCCACGCACATCCAGTGGCCTCCTCTGCCGCTCTCCAAAGGGTAGGTTTTGCTCAAGAGTCAACAGTTTGCTTGTTCCCCAAGCTCTGGGTCCTGAGCAAATTTGCTCTGTTGCCACAGAGAGATAAAGGCAGCTGGGAGAGCTTTTCCAAACAGGGATGGCAAGTGGCCGCTTTGAGCTGGGGACTCCAGAACCCCGCAGTGCCTGAGCGAGCAGGGAGAAGCTTGAGGACGATATGGGCTGAGGCTTTTTCGACCAGGCGCCGAGGTTCCCAAGGGCTGAGGGGGTGTAGCCCCAGGCCCTACTCCCACCCGAGGCTCCCTCTTAGATGTGCTCTTCCCTAACATTCCCCTGAAGAGTTGGAAGGTCCTGGTTCAGCCTCGTCCTCGTTGTACAGCGTGGGAGATGGAGGCCACAGCGGGGAAGGAACTTGTCCAAGGACAGAAGGTCACCCGGGTGCCCCGCATCTCCAGTGACGATGGGCCAACATGTGTAGTGGATGTCAGTGACCGTGATGGTTCAGAAAATGCCCTCCTCTGTGCCTGCACTCCCTCCTGGGGCTGCAGAGAGGGGATAACCTGTGAGGAAGCGCAGAGGGGCCTGAGGGCACCAGGAGGTCCAAGTCGGGGATTCAAGTGGCCTCCTGTCCTAGGTGTCCTCTAAGGCGTGTGCCAGCAGCCCTAAATTAGGAAACAGAGACTCCACATTATAACCCGTCTCAGCCACACCCTCTCTCTGGAGGCATCAGGCCACAGAGATGGACGCAAAGCCCTGCTCTGACTGTCTCTCCGAGCCTCAGTTTCCACACCCGTGAATCTGATCCCTAGAGTTGTCCTGAGGAGGAAGCAGAGAGAAACACGTGCAGCGGGCATCGCGGCCAGGGCGTATGCAGGTGACCTAGGAGCTTAGCACGCGTTCGTCCGTTAGTCCTTGTAGCACTCTGTGAGGTAGGCCGAGCTTTTATCGCCATTTTGTGGACCAGAGGCACAGAGAGGTTAAGCCATGCGCCCACGCTCACACAGCTAAGAAATAAGAGGTAGGATTCAAACCCAGTCAGGCTCCAGAATCCATGCTTCTAACCGAGGCTGCCCTGCCTTTCCAGGGCCGCCATATAGTAAGGAAAGCTGGCCAGAGGAAGGGCACGGAAGCTGCGGTCAGAGAGCCGGGCATTGTGGGAGAGGCTGACCATGAGGCTCAGGAGATGGGCAGAGAGTTGGGTCTGGAGAATAATCAGGAAGGAGGCCAGGAGGATTTGGGTCTGTGTGGGCCGGGCCTCCCTGCCAGGTGGCTTGGACACGCGGGCTGAGGGTGTTGGTGTCCTGTTTCTGTTCACCCCTCGTGTTTATGTTCCCAACGACCTGCAGGGCTGACCTTAGGAGTGAGATAGGGCCTGCCCAGCCTCATGGGGCCTGAAGGATGATGGGGAGCCCTGCAGGGTAAGGACCACACCCTAGGAGCCACCGTCGGTCGCTCTGCATACACCACGGTTCTGTGAGGCTCTGGGGACTTGCACAGAGGTCAGTGAGGTGAAGTGTTTGGGAGCCCCAGCCTCAGACTTGGTGGCTGAGTTTAGTTGTACAGGTGAGCCCTGTGCAGAGACTGTCCAGCCGAGGAGGGGGGCAGTGCTAGAAATCCAACCCTTGGGAACCAGCAGTTAGCATAATGGCTATGTCTCTGGACTCCCACATAGTCGACCGCGGTTCGCGTCCTGGACCCGGTGGCTTAAAACTCACGCCGGGCGCATGTGCATGCGTGCCCAAGATCCCGAAAGGAGAATGGAGGAGAAGGGATTGTGGCTTAACCATCCCCTCTGGGGGGTGATTTCTCTCTTTCTGTCTCTATGACTCTCTTTGTCTGTCTGGCGAGTACACGTGCCCTATAGCAAAAACCTCTCCAAAAAAAAAAAGAAAAGAAAAAAAAAAAAAAAGAAATCCAACCCTTGTCCTCTCACCAACTCAAGTGCCAAGGAGATTTGCCTACCCGGAGGTGGGGGGTGCCTTTTTCTTCTTTGCACAAAGGCTCCATGTGAGCCACTAGGAACCCCGTCCATCTCTGACCCCAGCCACCATGTGACCTTGGGCAAGGTCATTTCCTCCCCTAGACTTGCTTTCCCATTTGAGAAGTTTTATGTAGCGAGAGGCAGAGTCAACCCCGAGAGTCAAGAAGAATCATCTGGGACCTTTAAAAACTACAGACGCCCAAGTCCTATCGCAGACTAATGAGCCCAAGCCTCACGATAGCATGAGCAAATCTTGGGAAAAGGGGGCAGGCTAGACAGTGGCTGCTGCTGCTGTGCGGACAAGATCGAGACCCACTGTAGGAGAGCTTGAAACTGGAGCTAGAAAGGCCTCCCTGCGCCTTACATTCTACAAGTTACTGCAGCCTTCTAGCTAAAAACCTCGCCGAGGCTCAGTTTGTCCATCTGTCAAACGGGCAGGGTGACTCAGGCGTGCTTGGCACTGAGTCCACCGTGTAAGCAGCTCCTGATTCTTGGTACCAATGACTACTGTTTTTGCTGCCGGTAACATGACACTGGCTTAAAATCAAGTGCTCGTCCATGGGTCTCAATCTTGGCTGCTCACCTGCGTATTACGGAGAGGAATGTGATCAATATTTTGCTTGGTTTATCAATTTCCACATTGATTTTTGAATGGGTACTACATTCGGATGGTTCAAATTACAAAATGGTGCACGTTGGGTTGGCCCCCTAGCCTGGTGGTTAAGGGAACCCGATCCTTGAACTACATGACTGACTGAGGTCCAAATCTCGGCCCTGGTGATTTGGAAACCATGCCAGGTGCACATGCCCAAGCCCCTGACTGGGTGGAGAAACGGATGAGGGATTGTGTTGTGACCAGCCCCGCTGGGGAGTGCTCTCTCCCTCTTTGTGTTTCCGTCTTTCTCCGGCAAACACACGTGCCTTCTCGCAAGCAAATAAAAATCAAAACAGCACAAATCGAGAGGTCTGGCTTCCACCTGTCTCCTTCCACCTGAACTCCCCCACCCACCACTGACTTCTTTTTTTCTTTTGTTTTGAGAGAGAGGTTTCTTTTGCTATATGGCACATGTGCTCACCAGAAAGAGAGAGACAGAGAGACAGAAAGCGAGAAATCACCCCCCAGGGGGGATGGCCACGCCGCAATCCCTTCTCCTCCATTCTCCTCTCAAGATCTTGGACACACATACACACGTGCCCCGCGTGAGTTTAAGTCACCGGGTCCGGGACTTGAACCACAGTTGACTACATGGGAGTTCAGCAACGTAGCCATTCGCTAACTGCTGGTCCCGCCACCGACTTCTTTACTCCTCTCAGTCTCTGTATTCCAAGGTTCCTTTACTCAAACCAAGTACCTGTACGTTCACACGTTCCCCCACCTCTCACACCTGCTGTGCTCATTTAACATCAGAGCCTGGAAGTTTATCCATAGCATTGGAGAGTGAGCCTTAAGGAAGGGTCTATATCCTCCCTCGCAGGTGGGGAAACTGAGGCTCAGAGAGGGAACACACTTTTCTCAGGGAGCCAAGTCAATGACGTCTGAGGTATTGCCACCTGGCTCCAGAGCCTGTGTTTTCCCCCTGGACTGAGGTGGCCTTACGGGAAGCACAGCCCAGCAAACTTTGGAGCCGGGCCTAAATCTCTTCCGTGCAGGCCTGGCCTTTCTAGGGCAAGGGGTGGGGTGAAGTGAGGTGGGCTGTCAGGGTCCCCACTGTGTCTGTGCCCCTATGTCCAGACAAGCTGATGTACGAAACAAAAGATGTCTGACGTCACCCCGATTGGGACCCAGTGGGAAGGCTGTCCCCTGGATGGGACTGTCAGGGCCTGGTGGCCATGCCTCCCAGCACTGTGGAGCCTGCCTGGAAGCCTCTGCAGTGTGGATAGTGGGGTCGGTCAGAAGGAGGAGAGAGGTGAGGAGGGGAGGGAAGCATCGCTGAAGGGACAGGCCCCAAGGAGCAGGAGACGGAGGAGGTCAAGGAGGAGGTCGAGGCAGAAGGGGCGATGGGACAGGAGCCAAGTGCTTGCTCAGCCTGGATCTTGGCCTGCTTCAGTTTGCTGACTCATCGAATTTGGGCAAGTCCCTTTTCCTCTCGGGGCCTCAGTTTCCCCAACTGCAAAATGAAAGAGAGTAGATCGCTGGTCTTTCGGCAGCCTTGGGGTACCCTAAAGGGCTTGGTGGGGCTCCCCGCACCATGCAGGAGATCGAGTCCTGGTTGCCAGAACACCATTTGCTAGCCGTGCCCGGGCTTTCCTGGATTGGGGGCCGGGGTCCTCGTCCTGCA